CGTACCAAAAAAAAATAATAATAAATAAAAAGAAAAATAAATCAAAGTGAAAAGATATCAAATACATAAGATATATTGATATATATCTTCACTACATATTGATATAGTCATGTGTAACAGCTATTAAACATTTCAAAAAGCAGTTCTATGAACTTTGTTTTTTGGTACGTGCCCCTAGCGTGAACCGAACCTGGGACTCTCTGGTAAGCAGGCAGATGCTCCAAATTACTGAACCAAAATAAATCAAAATGAAAAGATATCAAATACATAAGATATATTGATATATATCTTCACTATATATTGATATAGCCAGGGCTATGAACTTTGTTAGAGAAATGTTTGGACATCAAAAACATTTTACAAAATAATTATATGTAATGAGAGCTATCGTTTATAAAAATGCACATATAGCCCTGGCTGGTTTGGCTCAGCGGTTGGAGCATCGGCCTGCGGACCAGAGAGTCCCGGGTTTGGTTTCTGCTAGGGGCATGTACCAAAAAAAAAAACCACATATAGATATGTATGTGTATATATAGGAAAAACTCTGGAAATTCACCCTAAATGTTAAAACTGATTTTTTCCCCTGGGTTTTGGGATTTCAGAGGGTTTATTATTTGTTTTTGTTTTGTTTTGTTTTGTTTTGCATTTTCCCAAAATTGTTTTACTCTGAATATGCATTTTGGTCTCCATTTTAAAAATGTTTACTTAAATGTTACAGAGAACCAAATTTGGAATGGAGGGGAGGACCAGAGCAAGGTCCAGGGTGATTGCAAACAAAAGGCTCTCCTGACTGAACCGAATGCGGGGCAGGAGTTCATCTGATACTGGAGTGGTGTTTGTGTAAATTCTTTTTTGTTGTGTACTGAGATACAATCATAAAAAAATAATTTATAGTTGTTCTGAAAACTAAATTTTTTCCTTCTGTGTCTAAAGACTGTTCTCTAACAAATCAAGGTTTAGGCTTAAAGCAGTTATGCACTGGGCAGAAAAGACCAATACAAAGTGAGGAGGCAACACGAAGATCTATGCCCATACAAGTACTATATTTTCTCTCCTCAGTTAAATTTGAGGCCCCTTCTCTTACTTGTTTATTCTCTTTCCTTTAACAAACACCTAGAGCACTTTTTTTATGCTTATTAAATCCTGGGGAAGAAAAAGAAAAATCGGCCCTGACCTAGGAGCTAACAATCTAATTGAGTTAATAAGGTGAATATTTAAAAAGTTAACCAAAAATAGAGGGCAGTGTGCACTAGGCATTAAATGGCTTAACACAGAACAATCCTATACACAGTTCAAGGAGTGGCTGTAGCTTTACTGTGTGGTCATGGTTTAGATCACTGTAGAAAGTGATGGAAATGTTCCTCCTGTGCTGATTAGCACAGCAGCCACTAGCCACATGTGGTTACTGAATACTTTAAGTATGGTTAGTATGATTGAAGAATTGAATTTTTAATTTAATTTAAATATATATATTATATATCTATATCTATCTATCTATCTATCTATCTATCTATCTATCTATCTATCTATCTAATTTCTATAACTAGAAATTACCATATCAAAGAGCACAGGCCAAGCTCTAGTAGGCATAAGTTAAAGTATTACTTGTCCTGTTACTTTAAGAAAGGGGAGGATTTGAATAGCTAATAAAGAAAAGCATTCCAGAAAAAGAAAAAGAAAAAGCATAAGTGAGTTGTGCTCAATTCACACTGAAAGCATGAAAATGTTTGGACGTAGGTGTGTGAAAGTACCCAGTGTTTGGATGAGGAATTGTGATGGGTTGCTACACTGTACAGACCACGCATCTGAGAGTTAGGATTCGAAGCTGTAGGTAATGGGGAGTCATTGGTTATTTCTTTTATTTATTATTTATTTATTTATTTACTTACTTTTTTATCTTCACCCGAGGACATTTTTCCATTTTTTATTCAGATAGAGTGGGAGGGAGAGAGAGGAAGAGAGAGAGAAACATTGACATGAAAGGGACACATCGAGTGGCTGCCTCCCGCACAACCCAACCAGAGCCAGAGACAAACTGCTACCAAGGTACGTGCCCTTAGCGGGAACCGAACGTGGGTTTCTCTGGATCATAGGCCAAAGCTCTAACCGCTGAGCAAACCGGCCAGGGCTATTTTTTGTTTTTAATTGAGGTAAAATTGACATATACCATTATGTTAGTTTCATGTGTATAACATAATGATTCTGTATTTGTATAATTATTTCTGATCAGTGGATAATAATAGCTCTCACCATGTGCCAGGCTTTATGTTGAGTGCCTTACATGAATTATTTCTTTTAATTTTATTTTTATTGCTTTCAGAGAGGGAGGGAGAGAGACAGTGAGAGAGAAAGAGAGAGAGAGACAGAGAGAAACATTGATGTGAGAGAGATACGTCCATTGGTTGTCTCCAGTAAGTGGTCTGACTACCCTGAAACCTAGGTATGTGCCTAAACGGGTAATGAACCCATGACCTTTCAGTGCATGGGACGATGCTTCAACCAACTTAGCCACATCGGTCAGGGCTCTAATTATTTTAACATCTTTTTCAGGGAAATGAAGATTCATTTGGTGACCCTGTAAGGGTAAGTAATCAAAGGCAGACACATGAAGCAATTATAATCTTGGAGACATGTAAAAGGTACTGATGACGGTGAGGAGGTAGAAATTGAAAAAGTCCCACTTAAGACATTAGGAAGTAGCCCAGCTGGTGTGGCTCAGTTGGTTGCCTGTTGGAATCCCAGTTGGGGCACATGCCCAGGTTTCAGGCTTGATCCCTATGAGGCAGCCGATCGGTTTCTCTTTGTTCCTCTCTCTAAAATCAATAAAAATAGCTTTAAAAAAATACATTAGGAAGTTGCACTTAATAGAACTTGAGATCTGACTACATGGGAAGGATTAATGAAAAGGAAGTGAGAGAATCTTTATCTCTAGGGATACTTCTGAGGACAGAATCCTGGGGAACACCAATGATTCTGGGGTGAATGAAGGCAGTTGACTTAGCAAAGGGATGTTGAGAAGGATGTAGATGAGTGGCAATGGAAATAGTTTAGTAGAGTCAAGGAATGTGATAGAGAAAAGATTTCAAGACTCCCACAGGTAAGTTAAAGATGAGAGATGAGGATGAAGAAGTGGCAGAGGAACCAGGGAGAGTTAAGGCAATGATCACAAAAACTGAGGAGTCAAGGAGAGGACAGTTGGTTTGGGAAGGGAAATATAATTGTGCTTTTGGCATGTTGATTGGAGGTAACCAGTCCTCTGATTGATGATGGGTTGCTGGTGGGAGCGAATGTGAAGTTAAGAATTTATGAGGCAGAGAGGGGCAGTTGTAATTCTTCTCCCAGGACAGTAGGTAAAGCGAAAAGGGAAGGTTGAGGATATGACCTGGGGATAGAAGGCTAAATGGGGACTTACAATAGTAACCACCACCACCACCATTTATCATGTGACTATCACGTGCTTATATATGGGCATTCACATATGTTATCCCACTTAATTTTCCCGAGAATCTAATGAAGTATTATTAATTCCAATCATAAAAAAGGAAATTGGACCTCTGAGGGGGACAAGTGAGCCGAGAACTTTAGGAGGGGAGAGTGGAAGTTTTCCAGGCCAAGAGATAGGGTAAGTGCGCAGAGGCCCTGGGGCAGCACTAGCCCCAGGGTAACGCTAAGGTTAGTGCAGCTCCATGAAACTTGGTGAGCGAGGGGATGTCGGCCACGGTTGGAGAAGCCACCACATCAGCAAGAGGGGTTACACTAAAGGGGCAAGTCGATCCTATTCAGTAGAATTAGGCGCCCAAGAGGCCCACGCTGTCCAGCTCGCCTACGAGTTTCTATTCTGCGAAGCTGCCGGTACGTGGCACGGGGGTGAGGCAACCGGTCAGGAAAGGTGCCAGGCCCGGGGCCAAAGGGCAGAGGCCCGCGGGAGCTTGGGGCGGGGGGTTGCGGAATGGTACCTAACGGGGTAAGGCAGCACCGACGGGCGCACCGCGTCCTGCACCGCTCCCAGAATCACCCCGCTTTTAATTCGATCAGGCGCCCCTCGCCCGGCCTGGCTTTTTCGACCACGGTGGCGAGTTCGTCTTCCAAAACTTCAGGATGACAGTACCCCCCCCCGCCGGGGGGGATGGGGAAAGGAAATAACTGATGACCAGGGAGAAGTCCTATGGAAAAGAGGCCTTTTCATTTCTGTCTTGTTTTATCTCATGGTTTTCTAGAAACGACTTGCTTCCCGGTTTGCTCTCCAAGTCACCCCCTCCAACAGCGAGACTATTGGTTTGGCCTCTAGGCCCGGATTGGCTGAAGGTTTACACCTAGGCCAGGGATTGGAGGATGTTGGTCCCTTACGTATTTCTCGCTCCCATTGGTTCGGTTTCCCGGGTTCTGGGCGGAGTGGTTGGGGACGGTTTCCACCCTCTTGTTTACGAAGCGCGTAGTTGTAGCGCTCTGGGAGCGCGGGGGCTGTCCCTAAAGTTCCCTATTTAGCTCCTCGGGCCAATTGGGTTCTTGCTCCACCCTCGACCTCTCCCTTGCACGCCTCCCGCGTGGTGCGGCCCTCACCTTTAGAACCGCGGCGCGAGCGGAGGGCCGTCGCGTTCCTCCGCCCGCGTTCGCCGGCTTCCTCCCCCTCGCGGGTGCTCTTGGTACGTCCCGCGCCGCCTCCTTCCCTCGCTGGGGTGGCTCCCCCCACCTCGGGTCCGCGGCTCTTGGTGCCGCCCTGGAGAAGCAGGTCATCGGCCGGTTCCCGTGAAAACAAAAACAATCGGCGGCGCGGCCGCGGGTAGCCGAACGCGGCGAGCGGGGGCCGGAGACGCGGGGCCGGGTGGGGCAGCAAGCCGGCGCGGCTGTGACGCGCCAGAGGCCGTGCGCCATGGGGCAGCCGGGTACGGGCTGCGCGGGGCTTCCCCGACGCCGGGGCTAGCTTGCCCGCCGCCTCAGCCTCCCGCGCCGCCCGCCTGGGGGACAAGGAGGAGGACGCGGCCTCGGCCGGGCCCGGGCCGAACGGCTGCGGACACCCGGGCGCCGGAGAGCCGAGCGCCGCCGCCACCTACGAGATGGATCAGTGTGTGACGGTGGAGCGCGAGCTGGAGAAGGTGCTGCACAAGTTCTCGGGCTACGGGCAGCTGTGCGAGCGCGGCCTGGAGGAGCTCATCGACTACACGGGCGGCCTCAAGCACGAGATCCTGCAGAGCCACGGTAGGGCGGCCCGGGTGGGCGCGTGGGGCCCGGCCCACTCGCCCGCTCCCCTCAGGCCACGGCGGGAGGTGCTGAGACCCTCAGACCCCGTGACTTTTCTTCCTCATCTCGCCCGATTTGGCTCAAACCCGCCCGATCCCGTAGTTAATTAAGAGTGAGCCTAGAGTCCACCTTGAAACCCATCCCGGAGCCTCGTGCTTCAGCCATGTTAAACGTGCGTGGGGGTCGGTCCGCCGCACCTGCAAACTGGCGTCCTCCCGGGTGGGTGCTCCTTGCCCCGCCCAGCGTTCCCGCGAACTGCGTGGGACCCTTTGCCCTCCCCTGCTCCAAATGCTTGGCTGGGGACTGGCTTTCTTCTTCTTTTTTTAAATTAGAAAGTCGAGTGTTATTCTTAGCTGTGGGTTAACACAACAGTGGCTTCTGCAACTTCGTAATTTGTCGCGTGGAAGCAGCCCTTCCACTCGCAGCAGCGCTGACCTGATTCCTAGAGCGGAATCAAACTGGTCAGCGCTCCCAGTGTAGCCAGTGGTGAGAGTGGGGGAGAACGAACAGGCAGGGATTCTTCCGGACGCAAATTGTGGACGTTTTCAGTTCCTTGCCTTAATTGACCAAGTTTTTACTTGGTTTCCTCTTGGAAAACACATTTTCTATGGGAGGTATTTTACCTAGGTTATTTCAGTATTGCCCTAGGCCCTGGAGGCAGACGCTTTACCAAAGTTAACTTGTGGTAGCTGATTGGGAATGGTTTTGTTTTCTTAAGTAACATTAAAGGTCTGGCTATCCTGACATTAAAATAGTCACAGTGCTGATTTTTTTTTCTGGTCAAGAAGTAAAGGACTTTATTTAATAGGTTTGTTAAAGGGATTTGGGAGGGGGCCTTTTCAGCTCGTGGACTGAACAGAAATTTATATAAAGGAAGGTTTGGTGGGCGGGGTGAAATTTGGGTACTTGTGCAGGTGAGATGAGGGCGGTGGCGCTAGTGGAGTCTCTCCCTTTCCTCCTTCCCTCCTTCATTCTTTTACACCTTCCTTTCCCAGATGGCTTTCAGTTGAGATAAATGCTAGTCCGTGGTAAGGGAGTCTTATAACCACATCTCATTCAGGACTCCACAGTCACTTTTGAACTCTGGGGAAGAAGCAAACCTGCAACCATAGTGGGGGTGGGAGTTGAAATATTAATATGGAAAAATGAGCAGACTTAGATGGTTGCGCGTGAAGGGGAATGGAGGTGAAGTAGGCTTGGAATCCTGGGAAGGCTCTGGTGAATTTGGTTTTGGACCTGAGAGAGAAAGCAAAGTCGAGGAAGGGCTAATGAAGATAGAGGTCAGGGCTTAACGTTTACTGGTGGCTGAAGATGCGTAGATGGTGTTGGTCTGGAAAAAGATTATCATTTTTTTAGCTTAATTTGTCTGTTCAAGGGTTGTACTGAGCCCGATTCTTATCCTTAATCGTTTTGATTAAACTTTAGGTTACCTTAATTTCCCCAATTCTGAGGGAAGATGAGAGCGCTGTTGTCATTTAGTTGTACCAGACTTTTAATGAGAGTTTCCCTGTAAGCATGAAGTTTGGTCTAATTTAAGATCCAGTATGGTTGATGTTTGATAATTGCTAGCATGCCCTTGATCTAATTTAGATAATGCTTTAGTGCTTCTCAGACTTCACTCACACATGTGCACTCTTAGTTTTCAGATGGATTCACGATTTAACTTAAATAGATTTGTCCTCATTCTAGGCACTGGTATTTATGAAGTCATAGGTTTGGTGTGTTCGGTGTAATAAACTACATATTAAAAATAAATTCATTAAAATATTTTACATACAGGTAAAAGCACCATTTACATCAATAGTATGGGAACCACACTTTGGACAACTGTTGATTAACAGATAAATAGTATGGATACATTTTGGTGATTTGATTTGTGATTATTTATATGCTTTTTAGCACTTTTTTCTGTTGGTAAATGTATATTTCCATTTGTGGTGGAAGGGACAACAGAAAAGAATTATATGTCTTTATTGCCGATATTCTAAATTCACATTTGGTGAAAGGAGGGTAGACAAACAGTTTTATGACATGTTTAAAGTGTACTGTGGAAAATTACAGTCTTTGTAAGAGTAAAGGGTATACAGTATTTTTATTATTAGTTTTTAGGTTGTTATTAAAGGGATTTCTAACATGGTTTCTGAAAGTGATTCTCAAGGATTTTCTAACTTTAAATTTTATTTATTTGGAGTAAATAATACATTCAAATGGTATAAACTCAAATGACTAAAAAGGATACCCAGTAAAAAAAAAAGAAAAGCTTTCTCCCCCTCTTTCTTATTCCTGGACCACTTAATTGCCAAATGACAGACAAAGATGCTAATTTCCAGAAAAAATTTTAAGAGAATTCAGGTAAATAATAATTTGTCATTATTTTTACTTTGAGGCACTGGACATGTAATTCTACTTACTGTGCTTTAGGCTTAGTATTATCTCAGTTTGCAGGTTGGTAGAGACAGCTTTATTTGTGGGAAGTATCTAAAACTCCTTTTTTTGTGTGTGATGTGAGGTCTGACTCCTGGTAGTAAAACTCATTTAAACCACGATCCTCTATCTTTATTTCTTTGATGAATCAAAGAGAATTTAATTACTAGTTGCAGAACTGTTTCTTTTCTTTCTTTTAAATTTGAGGGTGGCAAATGAGAAGGTAAGTAGGCTATTAAGCATGAAAGAGAAAATGAATTATGGTGGTCACATTTTTAAATTTTGTAATTGGTCTTGCATCAGTAGACAGAAACCAGAGGTCCAGTGTTATATGCTTGGTATAATTTTCCATTTTAAAACTTGTGTTATTATACATATGTATTGGAAAAGTATGCTTGTATATAAATTCTTTGTGCTTTTCAGAGCCTACCAGTGTTGAATGAATTTAAAAGGATCAGGGAGCTAGTGGCTTATTTACTTAGCCTTGTTCTTTGGTGTACCTGGAGTAGGCTACATACCCTGATCTCCCATTTGTTAACCTGATTTTTTGCTAAATACTAACAGGGTGCTGTTGTGAGAATAATGACTAAGTTTTGAATTGAATAAAATTTAATATCTAGTTTAACATCTAATCTGGAAAGTAGCAAATAAGGAGGTCAGCAAAATTTGGGTGGATAACGGTCGCCATTGTTCAAAGAGGAGAATAGACTAGTAACCAAACTACTTGAGCTATTTTAGATGGTGAGACTAGGTCATTGTTGGTGTTTCTAGTGGATTTAGAAGCAGATTTAACTTTGTCAGTTATTCCTTTCCAGGCTCATTCCGGAGACAATTTTTTGTTATTTGTCATCTTACTCATTCAGACTAGTATATTACCCAGGATCCTTTTGGTTGCAGATGGCAGAATAGTTTTCACTAAAATGTAATTTGTTGACTCATGACTAAATAAGCTGAGGTTAGGCTAGGCTGGCTTCGGGGGCAGAAAAGATGTAAAGATTGGCCTTGTGTTCTCTTCCTCTCAGCTGTGCTTTCCATAGTTGGCTTTATTCTCAAAGGAGCTTTCTCCATATGGAGGTAAAGATGTCCAGTGGAACTCATGTCATCTTTACTGCTAGGGACCCCAAAGACAAGAACATGTCTTTGTCTGCATTTCCAACAAAATTACCAGGAAATATCCTTCTTGTCTTGGTTTGGGTCATATAAGCCTCTCTCTGAATTAGTAACTGGGGCCAGGGCATGGATTCCATTGGCTGTCTTGGTCTGTGCTTACCCTGTGTCCACTGTTGACCAGATAGAGGAAGGAGTTCTAGAAAGAAAAACTTGCACCCAAGACAAAAGTGATGTCTATTTTATATATATATATAAATATATATATATATAAATATATATGGGTAAAAGGTTTACAGTTATTCATATGGAAAATAATAAAACAATAATAGAAGAATAAACTTTTGCATACTCACAACTGTAAACCTGCTTTTGCCAACTCCTCTATTATCGTTGTTACATCATATGAGTTATCAATGAATTACATCAATGGCAGTGTTCTTTGAAATGTTTTCTTGACTGCCCAACCTGTATTTCTGTTTTTGCCTTGCTTCCTCGCTGTTTGTATGATTCAAATAATTGTTAGTATGACTTAATCTGTAGACTAAACAGCTTGATTCATGTTACCTTTGGGAACTTATATGAAATTGCTTTAATACTTGACATGATAAAATTATGTTCCTGAGGTTATTTTTTAAGTAGTTTCTAATAACTTTAGATAATAACAGGGAGAAACTTTCCAGCAGTTCTGTGATACTATCATACTACAGCTAATAGACAAATATTCATTGTTTTCATGTTTTAGTCTGTTATTAAGATGGTGAAAATAATATTTTAGCAAACTATTTACTTAGGGTATTAAAACTGACTTGTATTTCTTTGGTGTCCTGCTTATTCATCTGTAAAATATTAGAAAATAACCCAAAATGCAGTTTAGGGGAGAATGGTGGAGGGCCCTGGCCCTGAGGTATGGGCTTGGAACCCTGTGGTACTCCATGTGACTCCTAGAAGTTGATAGATACCAGGGAAATGATCTTTTTTTTTTTTTTTTTAATCTTTATTGTTGGATGTAAAATGTATTACAGATGTTCCACATTTTTCCCCCATTGACTCCTCTCCTCCCCACTCCCGCCCCCCCCTCCCACCTTTTCCCACACTATTGTCTGTGTCCATTGGTTATGCATATAAGTTCTTTGGTTTATTTCTTCCCACCCTCCCAACCCCTTTCCCTTTGAGGTTTGTCAGTCTAGCAATGAATTTGTGCTTCTTAATCCCTTCACCTTTTTCACCCATTCCCTCAACTCCCCTCCCAACTGGCAACCAACAAAATGTTCTCTGTATCTATGAGAGTGTTTCTGTTCTACCTGTTCATTTCGTTTGTAGATTCCATTGTTGATAGATACGTATTCATTGCCATTTTGTTTGTTCATACATTTTATCTTTTTCTTCAAAAAGACCCTTCATCATTTCATATAATAACGGTTTGG